TGCCTTCTGTTGTTTTGATTGACGGGTGCCAAACGTTACGGCTGCACCAATCACTGCCTTGCATTTCAACAACGGACTCAATGCATCAGAGAGGAGGTCTGCGTCACGGAGGGTTTTTGTTAAATCTGCTGTCCGACCTCGGTGCCGTTGTTGGGAGTGTAGCTGAGAGGAGGAATACGTCACCCCCCCCCCCCCCCCCCCACCTCCCCCCGCCCCCCCCCCGCGTCCTTCTCTCTCGCCCGACAGCGACAACAACATCGCCGTTTCACTGACTTTCTCCACTTTGTTATTGTCTTTCCTTTCCCCTCTCTGTCACCACGCTCCCTCCCACCAGCTGACACTCTGTCTTCGTCACCTTCCCCACTCGCTCCCTTCCCCCGCAGTCCTCCCCATTTCTTCTGCTTTTTATTGACAGCTGTCCCATAGCATCAGTGATGAAGCGATCCAACCATCTGTCCCTCCCTCCCCTCCACCACATCCTTCACCTTCTCCCCTCCTCCTCCCCCTCGTCTTCCCGTTCCTTCCTATTGACAGCTGTCGCGGAGCATTGACGCGGTGAAATCCAGTTTTTTTTTCTGTGACAACTGTGCTTATTTTTGGTTTTGCAGCCTTTGATTGTATCTCACAGCGGGACGCGAGAGCCTGTGAGAGCATCAAGTCCTTCTTCGTCTTCCTCTTCCCTTCTCTTCCCCCGGCCTCTATTTTCCATCCTCCTCCTCTTGTCAAGGATTTACATTTACATTGCGTGTTAAATCTGTACGTACGCGCGTGTGTGTGCGATCAGTAATGCATGATGACGTGGTTTGAAGTGAACGCCGGCGTAAAGACGCGTCCCCGCAGGCCTCCCTGTCTCTCCGACTGCTTTTCCACTCGTACTCTGTGTTCATGTTCTGTCGGCCTCTGCTGCATAAATCAACCCGGAATGATATTTCTCCTAAATGAAACGGCCTTTAGTGTCGTGGCACAGTTTTTTGTCGTGAAATCACTTCATTTTCATTATCAGGTTTAGTCAAAAGTAAACTATTGCAGCTTAAAAAAATCAACATTTGCAATTTATTAAGTTGATGAAAGACTATCGATGTTTAAACTTAGAGTGATGATTACTTTTGCTTGAACGTGGCACCTTTAAAGAAAAGTTCTTCCTCTCGCCTTGTTGCATCAGTCGAGCATTACGACGTGTGTGTGTGTGTGTGCCTCAGCCCTCGGGCAGCGCACCCTGCATCTCTTCCTCTCACCGAGCATGAAGGGAGAATGTCGAGCGGGGGGGGGGGGGCGGCGGCGCTCTGGGTTGGCAGCCCGTGTGTGAACTGCATGCGAAACAAAAGCAGAAACCGACATCGCTGCGCGCTGGATTTACCCCAATCATCTGGAAAGCTCCGCCTTGTTAATTATCGGCAGCGCGGCGGTTTTGTATAATCCGCGGCGTCCATCTGTCTTTTGAGGATTCACACCGGTCCTGAGAGAGGGAGAGCGGCTCAACTTTTTGCAAATGAGGACAAAGATTCAAGAAGTTTCCCCCCGAAAAATGGAAGGATTGCACTGACCGAAGCTCCCCTGGGATTAATGGTGGTATTCAGCATTCAGTCGAGTGACTGACAAATCCATATTTATATACCTATTTGATAATTAAGATCCAACTAGGAAAGAAGTAAATAAAACACAATTACCTTTCACAGGCGCCCGGTTGAGTCGCGTTACTCTCACCAACTAATCCAATCAACCATTTGATTACAGTACAAATGAAATATCTGCACCAAACAAAAGACAAAGACCAGTGGCAACGTCTGTCAATCTGCATCAGATCTCTCAGGGGCTGGTGGAGACCAAACCGGAGCTAAAAGGAGAGTGAATACTTTGACCTTCATTAATCGGATGAAAAAAAAAAAACGTTCAAAAAGTTCAAATGACAGCAAAAGATGCTGAATCGTCCTGCTGGATGTGTGAGCAGACACACGTTTGGCCTCAACGACAGGTGACTTTTCACTTACTTTTTAGTGAAAGAGGTAGAAACAGAGGGGGGGGGGGGAGCAGATGGAAAGACAAAAGGGAAGGAGTGTGAAACAAGAGCAGGGAAAAAAGACGAGAGCAGTGACACAAGAGGTGAGGAAACGTGGAAAGAGAGGAAAGGAGGTGACAAAGAGAGAGCCGGGGAATGAGGAGGTGGGAGGAACCTGAGCGGTGAGATGCCCTTCAGGAAGCCTATTTCCAACCCTGCAGGAGAGAGATAGCAATTAGGATCGCTGTGAGTATGTGTGTGTAGGTGTGTTTGTGCGTTTGTGTGTGTGTGTGTGTGTGTGTGGAGCTTGTCGTGGAGACAGTGGGTGTTTTTTTTTAAGTCTGTGAAAGGTGGGGTGCAGCCAACTACAGCACCCTACCCATGTTCCATCATCGCCTCATGCACACGTACTATACACACACACACACACACACACTCACACACACACCCTCCTCAGTTGGCTTCTTGTTTTTTTCGGGCATGCAGCGGTTGAGGCTTGACAGGTAAGGGAGTTAAACGAGCTTCCTGCGATGGCGCCGCCGGGAGAACATGCAGAGCAGAGCGGTTCCACGTCCTGCTTTGTGGACATTCGGTGCTTTCGTCGGCCGGACGTCTCTCTCTCTCTCTGCGCATCGTGCTGCAGGTGAAGGCGGATCTGGAGGGAGAGACACTGCAGCAGGTTTCTTAAGGTCTTCAGTGGCTCTCGCGTACAGCTGAGCTGTGCCAGGTTCAGAAGGACGAGTCGAATCCCGGTGCAGAAATCAGCTCCAGCTGTGGGACTTAAAGTGCAAATCTGCAAAACCTAAAGATGCACCAGGCAGAACTGAACTCAACCACATTCCTGCACCCTGCGTCCCGCATCATGTGTCGCGCTGTTTCAGGCAATCCAAGAGTCCAGTGTGAGATCGACCGTCGGATTTGACTTTGGCGAAAGTGTTGAGCTCTCCGGGGTTGATGTTTTCTCGCCCGTGCAGGTCATGTGACCACGGCAACCACCAGAGAACACATTCAACTTATTTTACTGACGCGTACAGGAACTTGAATTCATCACCAAACCATTGCAAAGAAACATAGAAATACGAAATCTCCGATGTCGGGAGACGCTCTGATGGGACAGTCCACTCGCTAACTAACCCTCCACCGGCTCCTAGAGCAGCATGTTGATTATGTGTGTGTGTGTGTGTGTGTGTGTGTGTGTAGCCTGCAGGGGCAACCAACCACACCTCACTGTGCAACTCTGTGCATAAATTAACCTTGTAAACTTGTAAATAATTTGCTTGATGAATTATTTAGGGGACAAGAACTGATTCTCGTTGGCTCCTCATTGGCTAAAAATACAAACCGCCCGCAGCCGTTCTAGTTTCTGGTGCCTGGTTCAGTTTTTCCGTCGTGAGTTACGCGGTCAACATTTCTTTTGGTGACATTTAGGAGGTTTGCTATCAGCTGCTGTTGGACCTCGAGTCCGACGCAGTGTGGACAGAAAGGACGCGACACGGCAAAGGAAAGTGGCGCTGACTCAATGCTGAGTCAGCGGCGTGTGCGCAAAGTGGCGCTGGTGTTATTTTGAAGGCGCGTTCATGCCGCGTTTGCCGCTCTCGTTGCTTTTCCTTTAACCCTAATCGAGTGTTTCCATCTGTGAGAGCGTCTCACTTGAGGAGCGTCGGGGAGAGAAGAAGCTGCAGTTATCACGGTGGTGTTTTCACGTCCGCTCATCACTCTGCTTTCTCTACACATTCTTCGTGTTGTGAATGAGGCAACGTTGTTCAGCGTCTGCGATATGCAGAGCGGGTTACGCGCCCGCTGTGCGACGAGTACAAGAGGGCGCGAGATGTTGTTCTTCTGGGAGCTCGACGCTGCTCATGACCGACGGCACTTTTCGCACGCTGCAGGTCTTGACGTGCACGTGATTCACAGATGAAAATCCCCCCACGGCAGCTGTGAAGCAGAGTGGGCGACAATATGAACCCACAATCAGGGTGGTTGAGTCCGTCTGTCCTTTGTGTTTCCAAAGTACACACAGTCCCACACGGAGGGTGTTTGTTGTATGTGTTGGAAGAGCTGAGGTGAACAGAAGTAGCATCTCCCCCTCCTCCCCCTCCCCCCCCTCCTTCTCCTCCTCCTCCTCCTCCTCCTCCTCCTCCCATCTGCTTCTTGTTCTTTTCTCCCCCCCCATCGTTCTCTATGTGTGTGATGAATAATGCAATGTGTGTAGTAAGAAGAGATAAAGTGTCAGCGGGGGGGTCTCCTCGGTGATGTCACTACATTCACCCTTCCACCCTCACACCCAGAGGGTGAGAGGAGGGGGAGTGGGGGGGGGGGGGGTCAAGATGCAGATAAAGGTGAGGGGGAAGGAGAGAGAATATGGAGGGGAGGGGGTGGAGGCCGGCGGGTGGTGTCACACAGAGCGATAAGGAGGAGGAGAGGAAATGAGAGAGAAGGTGGAGAAGCCGATGTTGACCTGGTCAGATGTTTTGCTTACCATACATTATCCCGCCGTTATTATTTATACACACAGCAGGGGGGCTGACTTGACCTTCCTCACAAAGACAGCGTGTGTGTGTGTGTGTGTGTGTGTGTGTGTTCTCAACGTGTGACTGACGAAAATGAGAAGGTGTCGGTTTGTGCGTTTGCGTTCATAATGGGACGACGCTGCTTGCCGTGCAAAACGAATCGACACAAATGAAGCACAAGCGACTGCGTGTGTGTGTGGAATCTCACAAGCGCACAAGTCGAGATCGACAAATGTGCTTTAAACCGGATCAGATATGAAGGTATTAATGAGCAAATGGAGCCGCTCTCTTTTACTCTCCTTTTTCTCAACTTCCTTCTCCTTTGCTTTTCTTCTGTGTTACTCGCTCCGTCTCAACCACAACAAATTGGGTCTAAATGAGCTGCAGACGGTCATTCTGCTGCTAAACTGTCCTCACCAAACACACACACACACACACACACACACAGACACACACACACACAGACTGCTCCGTCTGGAAGCGCTTTAAGAGCCTTTGGCACTCGCGCCGCTGCATCGCCGCTATCCTCCGATGAGTCATCGGAGTCTCTCCCCTCTGTAGGACGCGGCCGAGGAGCCGGAGAGAGACCAAGTCCGAGGGCCTCAGAGACGGACGCGCGTCGTAAAGTCAGACTGCGGAGCCAGAGGACGTCCTCCGCCGGGACCTCCGAGAGCGGCTGCGCGTCGCCGAAATGGAGATCTCACCGCGCCTCGAGGCCTTTTAAATGTTGAATACGTGCTGAAGAGGCTGAGAGGCTTTCTCGTTTGGATCTCCGCAGCAACTCGGTCAGGTGTCTCTCAGTATCAGTGATACCTCTGGTCACTCAGGGGGGGGACATGGAATATGTATTTAATTACATGAATTAACGGGACGCCTCAGCAGGATGAAGAGGGATCGGCCGCGGCGGTGGCTCAGTGGCTCAATGGTAGTTTGATGACATCGGCGCCGCGAGATAACGCACCTCCTGACGCCTCGGCGGTGAAACAGAAGGCCGCTTCGCCGCGCCTGGTCTGCGCGGGTCGGTCGGCGCTCTCGTTGGCGACGGTCCGGGTCCTCGTGGCGTCCGGTTGGACGACGGCCAGCTGGTGACATCTGACACGATGGAAGGCCGACGGCAACTCAAGAAAGATGGAGAGGTCATTAAAAGAATCTTTAATTTCCACTTGACGAGTATCTGACTGGTCTGTAAAACGCTCTTTTATAGGCTGCTATTTAAAATGTGTGTGTCTGTGTGCGCGTGTGTGTCCTTGGCATCATTACCTTGACTGCTGCCAAATGTGGGATGAGTGAACGGCCGTCATGGCGGAGCCTCCAGTGTCTCTCTCCGGTTTTTAACATTCTCACCACTCTTGTGACTCATGCCGCGTAGTTTGTGGTCACATTGTGTTTGGAGTGAATCTAAATGTTACACAAATTGCACCAACAAAAAGCTGTGATCCAGAGTCCAGTCCCGTCTTGTGAAGTTGATTACTGGGATTCTTTCACGTTGATGTGGAGTTGCAGAGCGACGGATCCCGTAAAAAATGATTTGTTGGTCGGTGGTTCTCATTTTTTGCTGAAATGTGTGTGCGGTATTAATACCAAAAATATATTATCTTCCTTTTTAGAAGAAATTTGATCAAATTGGGTTTATTAACTGCACCTCCATATATTTTTATACCACATCAAATGAAGCACAATCAATTGGAATTGACTCTATAACGTTTCAATACATGGATTGGAATTAATTATATGTGCGAGAAAGAGACAATTCTGTAAAGTTTTCATCCAAATGAGTCTTTACTCTGACTATTATCTTAGTCAGACACTAACATTAACATCTGTTGTCACTGTGTTCCGTTGTGCGCGTGGCTGGTAATCACTTCTTTGAGTGCGTGTTAAGAGAGATGATAAGAAGGTCACAGAGTCACATTCAGAGAGATCCTCAGAACAGAGTTATCAAACCGAGACACCGTCGGCTATATCATTAACACTGAGTTATAAAAAGTTGATAATTAAAGACAGGTCTCAGAAGGCAGGCAGGGGGTTTGGGGCGGTGGAGGGGGAGGGGGAGGGGGGGGGGGGATAATTGGCTTTCTCTGCCACGACACTTCGACCCACTTTACTACCAATAACTTAATAAGACACAGTGTCAGATGGAGAAGTCACAAAATATCATCTTCCGCCTGCAAAAAAATTGCACTTTCTTGTTTCTTGTTCTTCTGAGTTTGTGTCCTTATGGTGGAAATGCACTTATTGTAAGTCGCTTTGGATGAAAGCGTCAGCTAAATGACACGTGATGTGATGTAGTGCCGTTAACAGTTGGGAGGTAAGAGAACACGGACCCCCCCCCTCAAGGCCCCCCCAACATAAGAACACGAACCAGATTCAAGGTATTTCTGGTTATTACGTGGACGTTTTTTTGTGTCTCACATATATATATAGATATATATATATATATATAGATATATATATATATATCTATATATATATATATATATCTTTGATCGCCGTGTGCAAACAAGCGGCATCGTAGAGTACTGAGGAGGAACTGTCTGAAGATCTCCAGTCGATACAAACCGAAGTTGTTTAGAATCATTTGTGGCAAATAAAGCGCATTAAATCCCGGAGGGGGGGGCAGGGGGGGGGGGGGGAGTGACAGCCGAAGTCAAAGAGTCGCGCGAGAAATGAAACCTCTTGTATTTAAAGTCAGAGTGCACTGAACCTTTTCACGGGTTCGCAGCTAACCTATGCTTCCCTGTGTGTGTCTGTGTGACACAGACTGCTGCGTTACCCTGTGTGTGTGTATGTGTGTGTGACACAGACTGCTGCGTTACCCTGTGTGTGTCTGTGTCTGTGTGTGTGAGAAACGCACTCGTGGGAAGCGTCTGCCTCCGTGCGACTAAGTTGTATTGATCATTGTGCGTTTGTGGTACTTATTTTTGTGCGCGTGTCGTACTTATTGTGTCTACCTGTGTGTAAGTGTGCGAGCCAATGTTAAAACATTGAATTTATTCAAAAAGTTTTCCCTTTTAAAGAGATGGAAAGCAGGTATCTGAACAACAACTCACCAAACTACAGATAAATGTGCCCGATGTCTTCGTGCTTTGAGGCGGCCGAACGCGGCTCCCTTTCGCTCCGCTTACTTCTTTGCAGGATCCCTCGGGAGTCTTTGTGTTTAGTTCTGTCCAAAGCTTCAAGGCCTTTTCACACGAGTCCAAAACGGTTGCACGTTTAAAGACAAACACGCATCAATCCGTCAATCGAGTTCACACGACAGCTACGGAGCTTTGATCCCTCCCCAAAAAGAACATGTGACATGTGACGAACTGATTCCCTTTGTATCCCGCCATGACAATATTGAAAGACGGATTGTGGCGGCGCACTGCAGGGTCGCTGATCAATAGCGTCAGGCTGACGTCATTTATTCGTGAGCCCAGCGTGAGACCGGCGCCGTCCGTCGCATCACATGACTCATCTCGTAGCTGACGAAACGCGTCCGGGTCAGTGCTACAATGTATTTTTAGCGCCGTTGGGCGAGCATCAATAACGCAGACGTTTTAAGGCGGTCTCCCCCCATCTATCAGGCTCACGGGACGCCCCGGGCCCCAACTCACGACCCCCCTCATTTGTCTTGCCACGTTTTCCTGCTCTGACACACACACACACACACACACACACACACACACACACACACACAAATGGCTTTCTACCTGCGACTCCGGCAGGGAGGTTCGTCTCCGAGCGATGATGCTGAGACATGTTCAATATATTCAATGTTCTCTCCTGTGAAGCTTTTCTGTCCCTTGTGAGTTTTTAAACCTTATTCAAGTGTAGTGCTAAAGTCCCCTGAAGGATTATTCTCTTTGAAAACGCTTCTCTTCTCCAGGCAAATATTTCAAAGAATCATTTCCTGCAGTTAGAGGACCTCGGTCACCTCAGGTCACATATGACATGTGACATATTCTTTACATGTAAAGAAGAAACATGTGAGAACCAGAACCTCTTCTAATGTGTCTCATTCCTGCAGGCCTTCTGCTTTACCTGACTTTCAAAGAGGAATCGTGGGAGACCTTCAGGATCAGGACATCGGTGCATCCTCAGGCGCCATCGCTCGGCTCGACTGCCTTTGAACAACTAAATCAACGTAGTTCTGCCCATTACGGGAGCTTTATCCCAGCAGGTTGCCATCGGTTACACGTGGACAAACCCTCTGTTCAGTAGCAGGCGTAGTGCTCTCAGATGCATCTTACGCTGTAAGTGTTCCTGGGGGAGGTCAACAGTTTAGCCTCTGCTGGAATAAATCACAACGATAATTTACTTAATTGATCCCTGGAGGAAAAACTGTACTTTACTGTTGACACAAACGCTTCTTTTCTGATCGGAGAGGGGAGGGGAGGAGGGGGGGGGGGGTCAATTCTTTGGGCTTCAAGCACAAACTTCACCCAGATAGTAGATAGTAGAACTGGAGTCTGCAAATCGCTGCACTCGGGAGATCACGGCTCTAATTCTCCTGCCGATCATTACGAGCATCATTATGGGCACAAAAGGCAGAGATTTGCATAACTCATTATAAGCCAGGGGTAAGACAGCTGTGTACTTCCTCCAGCGCTGTTAGGTGCGCCCAAAGCTCATCGTCAACACAGCGCTCCGAGGACTAAAGCTCAGATGTATGACCTCATTTTGTTTGGGATCTTTATAAAAGAAATGTGAGCTATTTGGCTCTCGCAGAGGACATGTGAATGTGGGGAGCAGATGGACAAAATCAACATATTAATGCAACATGCTACCTACCCCCCAGTAGGTACTGGTAGGTACCTTGTGTTTGTGGCCTTTATTGCCTTAATAGTTTTCAAACCTGTCATCCATCTATATGTTCAAGAACAAAAGAGGTTTAACCAACTCCCCAAGTCAGAAAGGATAGATTCAATTTGTCCAACAGATTAGATAATTAGCATCATTGAACATCGGAATGGTTCCAATAGTTCCATCTATCCTAATTAATGGCAGATTTAATGCACTCCCTCTCGGGAGTCTGCTCTTAAGAGGGTTTTGGAATGAATGTGGAGCTTTCACCGAAGGCCGTTCAGTTGAGAGACTGTTTCCACAGTGACAACCTGGTTGTTTATCAGGGACGCACATTTGCATCCTTGTGATGTCTCTGTTTACAAACGTGATTGGTCTGAAGGCAAAGTCCAGTTTTGTCCAATTGGTCCACAGAGACAGAAGTCCTTTAAACATTTCACATTACGTTTTTCAATTCAGTCCATTGGAGATGAGCAAGGACGTGACGAATGCAACAAAGGAAACCTATAAACAAAACAAAAAAAGCCGTCATGAATTTCAATAAATTACAGATGCCAGCCTGACTTTGTTGGTACAAGGAATAAATTGCCTGTCTGAGCAAAGGAGTGTGTGTGTGCATATTAAAGTGTTCGCTGATCGCTGCTACAACCTGTAGTCGCACAGCTCTCCTTGCCCACGTGACACGCACACACACACACACACACACACACTTGCTTCTCAAAACGGCGTGTCGGACCAAAAAAAGGTTTGTGTAATCACAAAAAGCCCTGACTCGTTTAAATGCAAATACAACTGTGCAAATGTCTTAAAACAAACACACAAACAAATGGTTTCAATAATGTCAATCGTGCAATTGTGTTAATTTATCACTGCTGTGCGCCGGAGGCTGTGTGTGTGTGTTGTTCTGATTAGACAAACAGAGAGCAATGGGTCGGTGCTGGAGGAGAAGAGGGAGGGGCGTTCTGTTAGAGGGGAAGTCAAATCAAACCCTCTCATGCAACGAAGCCGCAATGAGGGACTCGCGGTTTGGGCGATTTGGACGGTTTGGACGATGTGCGGTTTGTGCGGTTTGGACGGCCTTGGCGGTTTGTGCGGTTTGGACGGTTTGGACGGTTTAGACGGTTTGGGCGGTTTGTACGGTCTGGGCGGTTTGGGCGGTTTCGACGGTCTGGGCGGTTTGGGCGGTTTGTACGGTCTGGGCGGTTTGGGCGGTCTGGGCGGTTTGGGCGGTTCGTACGGTCTGGGCGGTTTGGACGGTCTGGGCGGTTTGGACGGTTTGGGCGGTTTGGACGGTTTGGACGGTCTGGGCGGTCTGGGCGGTTTGGACGGTCTGGGCGGTCTGGGCGGTTTGGACGGTCTGGGCGGTTTGGACGGTCTGGGCG